CAAATGTTCCCTAAAGACAATCGCCTCAATAAGCAAAAAAGAAGCTCAACAAGCAAACGCAACCGTGTAATAAAAAATAGAGCTGCCATGCATAATTATTTAACATTTAACCCTCTGCTCGTTGATATAACAGAAAGGGGGTGAGTTAAGTTTGCCCAAAAGAATGTGTGAAAAGGGCATGTATCCTCTGATGAAGACGCCCTTCTGCTTTGTCATCCTTTCTCAAAGTGCCTCAATCATCCTGACTTCAAATACACCTTGGCCTCGAGCTAAACTGCACATCCTGAGCAGCTACACACCTCTGCAATTACCCCCTGCATTCCCACTAGCACCATCAGGTAGACTCAAATCTATTTGGATATTCAGAGACCTAGGCCCCCAGCTCAAGCATTTAGTTTTAGTTTTAGTTAAGTTTGTGGTATCGAGTGTGCAGTGGGACATGCTCTAAGTCTTTTCACTTTCAGCAGATGGGTACTGTTTAGGGACCTTCACACCTCTACAGAGATAAGAAAACAATACCCTGTAATTAGTAGGCAATTAATTGTCAACATGCTAATTTGGTCATCAAAGGTGCGGACGATGGAGTGTGCGGACATTTAGAAGACATTTATGCTTACAGCAGTAAAACCAACTGACTTTCCACTTGCTTTGAATATGTTGGGTTCTCTCAGTTTATTTTCCTTGTAATCAAATTCCATCTCATCAGAACATAAAAAATGATAAAAATTCGTTCAGTATTCTGACATTAATTCAACTTTTAATGAGTACTTTTCACAGTTAGCAAAGTACTGCTAGGTTACCATGCATTACTCACTGTGTTTCTAATCTATCATCTTAAAAAATGTCTAAAATTAGCTTGCTTATGAATAATGAGTATACAAAAGATTGTGCTGCCCCCACATATTCATTGATCCTTCCATGGGAAATATGAAAACGTGACTTCCAAAGCAATCTGAACAGTCCCTAAGAAAATCTGTTCCTAGAAATACTAATGTGTAGTTAGTATAATTACTTTTAATACTTTTTATAATTAATTTTTTTTAAACTATTTATACACTTAGAATTCTAACATCTGACTTGATAAACTGCCTGGCACAGGAAGCAAAAATTACAGACATGCTAAGCCTTGCCTTTTTTAAACCTGAAATCCCAGAGCAGAGACCATACACTTTAGTCTGTTTATTTTGGCTGCCAGACACAGCAAGCTCACAAGTGTCTAGTCTGACTCTGCTTATTAGGTGTTTAGATGTGAGATAACATGCACTTACACACATGCACACCTTCCGGGACCACACACTTACTGCCATGATTCAGAACATGTAAGCACAGGCTTGTGTCTGAATTTCATTAGCAATTAATCAAACCAGCTAAGGCCAGGCTAAGGGTGACCCTGCACCTTGATCATGTCAACTGACTCCTAGCACTAGGTGGCTGGTTCTTGTCAAAGCTCCATTACTGATACATAAAGACTAAGTCCATTGACTCTTGCTACAGAAAACTGAAGCTTCATTCACTTTCTTAGCTGCAGGAAGATTTGAGATTTCAACACTGGTATTTACCCTTCAGCTACCTCCCCAGAAGTTCAGAAACTGTTCCGCAACAGCAAGGAACAAAGAGGTGAACCCACGATAATGTCACATTGAGCTAGCAAACAAAAGGAGTGGTCCAGTTTACGGCTCCCCACCAGCCATGCTCATAGATCATCCATCCATTCATATTCAGCATATGAATGCATCCTGGGGATCTTCATACAACCCATGTGATAAGAAAACAGTGTTCAAATTTAATAAAATATAAAAAAATAAAATTAGCAGATATCAATTGTTGACAGGCTAATTTTGTCATTAAAGGTGCTGAATATACTTAGAGGAGTCAACTACTTTTACATCAGATGCCTTTAATGTTTTGGGTTTGCTCAGTATGTGGCTTCTTTCAACCACCTCCCCAGAAGTTCAGGTACAGTTCCTTCTCAACAAGAAACAAAGAGGTGAATCCACGGTAATGTCCCAATACATGTGGCCCAATAAAAGGCTCCTGGGGGGGCCATGCTTATGAATCATCTACCCATTCGCATTCAGCATATGGATGCGATTTAGGGATCGTCATACAACTGCAGCAGCAGGAAAACAATACCTTCAATTCGTAGATCCTGACTGTTGACATGCTAATTCTGTCATCAAAGGAAGATATGGAGGTTGCCAGATACGTGTCCTTAGAGGAGTCAACTGATTTTACATCATCCTTTAAAAGAATAGTGTGGCAAAAATCATGTTTGAAAAAAAAAAAAAGTTTGAAGTCCAAATTTTCCTGAACTGAAAACACAAGTCTAAAGTGACCCAAAGTTTTGTTCATTTTCAGTTTTATAGTATGACTTTTACCCTCAGTCATAATGTGGCCTAAACCACTTTAACAAGTTTAACAATAACAATTTTTCACTTTGAGCTGTTTGGATTCTATTGTTTGTTAGCAGCGTTAGCCTCACTGCTCCACTTCTAAACTGAAGAAGCAACATTTGGAATCAAAACATCTCCCAGCTGATCGACTACCTCTAGGGAAAGTGGAAACTGTGTACATTTTTAACCCTAACCTAATCCCAAAAGTTTAGGAACAGTTCCTCAACAACAAGAAACAAATCCCAAAGCCACACTGATCTTTAATCAAGTCAAGTTTGACATCGCATCCTTCTCTTAAACTGATAGCTTGGCTTAAAGTACGTCTGATCAAGTAACATCTTCCCGAGATTAGACCCACATGTGCAAAGCTGCTTCTGGAAGAGTAATTATAAACAGGGAGGTAACCAACGAGTATATGAGTACTTGACCTGAAAGCAACCTTTTCACTGCATCTCACGGGTGACATGCCCTTTGCCCCTGTGGGGAGACAGTAAGACTAACACTAGCCAAAAGGGGGGGACGGGAGTGGGGAGCAAAAAGCCCAGCCAGTCTGCCAGTGTTATCTCAGTATTACCAAGCTCAGTAGGGGACTTTCACAAAGAGTGACCACGCTGAGGTCTCTGGTACATAACAAAGAGAGACACACTCCACTAAATGAAGCCGGTTAGGTAGGCCAGGCCACACAATAACAGGCCAGCTAAACCTACACTGAAGTTCATGGAAGGGTTAGAATGACAAATTCCAGCACAGTCGTCCCAAGTTGCCCAAGTCTATTGATGTTCTAGGAGCTAATTCACCACAGTGCTCACAGCCCAAGTCCTTTGGTTTTACTAGCAACCCACAGGGCCTGAAGGGTTAGACTGAGGGGGTGGGGTCAGAAGCAAAAGAGGAATAATTTTGCTTTTGATCAATCCCTAATAACCACTCGCAGGGGGAAAAAAAGAGATTATTTCAGTGGGCCCTTGCCTGACCTACATGGCTTAATCTTTTTCCGGTCAAATCAGTTTACTCGTGTCACCGGGAGAATGCGGACGGGTCCAAAAACACGTTGGTGTTAGACATCACTGGAAATGTAAAGGCTCAATCATCCGCTACTGTATGATATAACTGCCCACTGCATTTGACTTCCAAGTGAGTGGACTGTTGGTTCCTCTAGCACTGTCCTTTTATTCACATAGGCCCTAACACAGGATCAAGCCATCTTGGACCTGAACAATTGCAAGAGTGGCCAATCAGGATTGGACTCCAGCACAGTTTGGTGATTTCCCCTCTGTATAATGCCTAATTGAACCCAAGAGTTATTTGCTACACTATATGTCCAAAAGCATCAAGACACCCTTTCTAATTAGTGAATTTCAACTACTTGAGGGTGCACCCAAGCCGCACATGAGCCTAAGGTCACCACAACCAATGCCAAGTGTCACCAAGAGGGGTATAAAGCCCCCCAGCACTGAACTGTTGAGCAGTGGAACCATGTTCTCTGGAGCACCATCTCAACTTTGAAAAGAGCCTTTCTAGAACTAATCATCCAACCTGACCTCGCTAATGTTCCTATGGCTTCCTATGCAATCAAATCCTCACAGCAATGTTCCAGCATCTAGTGAAAAACCTTGCCAGAAGAGTAGAGGCTGTTACTGCTGTAAAAGGAGGCCAACTCCCTGTTAATACCCTTGATTTCAGAAGAAACGTTGAATGAGCAGATGTCTACAAACCTTTGGATATACAGTGTAGGTACAGGTATAGCAGGGAAAATCACTGTGCTGGTCTTAGGCTCTCCAGAACACCTGATTTAAAGCAATAGGAAGGAATCCCCTCTATATTATCTTGAGGCATTGACACTAATGGCAAGCACTTCGTACATCTGGGTGTGATTACTAATGTCCTTACATTAGGACGGTGCTGGCAGGTTCTGGCTCCATGGAGCCCTGAACAGCGCACGTAGCAGCTCCATGGCAAGCTGTCTGAGATGACTCAGTCAACACCCATCCCACGAAGGCTGCCACTATGTACCTGCAGTATCTAACATCCTTTTAGCATTTGTCCTAATACAACCTCTACTATTTTACATAACGTGAAATGGGGACTCCTCCCAGAAACATGTTCCCTCATAAAGCTCTTCCATCCAGCAGCTGGGTGAATATAACAGCAGCCTGCAACAACGCTCCCGAACCAATTTGGCTTTATCCAACACTGCATTAACCCAAAAGGCCCTTATGTGCAAATAAGAAGAGCGCACCACTGGACTGGTTTTCCTCCCAGGGCATTGCGAGCTCCTATTTAATGCGCAAGGTGTGCTCGAGCGAGAGACAGCATGGAGCCCAGCAGCCCACACACCCCTCTCTCACGACCACCTGACCAATACAGACCCTCAAACCCCATCCCAGTTGCACCAGGTTGGCCATTTGCTAAGGACCCGTGCAATGCAGGTGCTGCTTACGCATGCAAGCGTGGGACACATTATAATGGAGGGCTGGGGTGGAAGGGGGGGCTCAGAGAGGGCTCTCCAGCACAGTAACCACTTCCTAACATGCAAATAACGTGTCCACGTTATGTGGAACAGGTGCACCGCGCGCATGTAGGTTATGCAAGCCGGTCAAGCGTACTTACGCACGGCTTCCAGTTTGGGGTCGAGCGCGCTGGCCGTCTGCTGGATTTGCCCTATTTTGCTCTGCAGCGCGCGCAGCCGCTGGTTGGTGGATGCGATCTCGCCCTCCAGCTCGTGGAAGACGGAGCACGCGTGCCTGGCCAGGTCGGAGAGCTGGCGCAGGGTGCGCGAGAGCACCACGTTGCTGACGGAGCGCAGGTCCTCGAAAAGCAAGCCCTCGTCGTTGGGGATGGGGTGCCTGCACAGCAGCTGCGGCTCCACGATCCGTTTGGCGAACGGCATCTTTTTATTTTATTTCTTCTCTTCTTGTTGCGACGCTAATCCAAAAGACAGAAAAGATCGGTGCTGGAGCTTCTGGTGCCTGTCAGGCAAAAATCCACGAGCGTGCCGTCCGGCCCTCCATCGCTGGGGGGATCACACACGGATGGTGCGCCGTTTTCCCAATGAGAGGCTCCCGGTCTCCTTCTGATCCTGGATGCCTTTCGCTGAGCTACTCTCTTTTTTCTACGCTTTGAAGAGGGCTTTTTAAAAGACAGAGCAGAAACGCGGAACGGAGTCGGATCTGGACTGCGCAGCCGCGACACACCGCATGGAGTCAGTAGAGAGGCGGAAAACCACGGTGTTTTTTTCCCCACCCGTATTCCGACAAATCTCACCTCCGGTGAACGGACTGGCGGCTTGTGCCCCGCCTCCTGCGCTAGGATTGGCTAGTTCATACTAACGGGCAGTTCGAATATAAACTACTATCCAATCCTGCACTGTCAGAAAAAAGCGGCACTACTTAGGTCCAAACAATATAAATGTACCCAGTAGGCTTTAAAGGGGAATTCCACCCATATTTCAAAATTTATGTACAATGAAATGTTTAAGGTTTTAATAAAGTCACTCAGAGCAGTTTGATGAAAAATGCTCCTTTCTAGAGAAACTTGCCACATCAGAACACTTCAAAGTGGTGGGGACAGGAACCAGACGTCCGAGGAGTTTAATGCTTCTAAAAGCTCCCTCACAGAAAGTTATCACATGAACTGGTCATAAATACGCTGCCTGATGTCTGAGACATTGTTTTACGATAGTTTTGAGAAGATTTTGACCTGAAACATAACCACTCATGGTGCGGAGGTACATGCTAGGTATTGTAAAGCAAAATTGTTCCCAAGATCTTATTTTTTTCAGAATTACCACTATGTTACCATAATCAGATTTCATATAAAACTCATAGGACACACACGACAACCGACCACTTCAAGTGACAACTTGTTTCTACATTGTCCATTTTATCAGCTTCATCTCCCACACACCTCTATGGGATGTGAAGCTGATAAAATGGACAGTGTAGAAACAAGTGCGCTTGCAGTTCTACAACAGACTGTAGTCCATCTTTATCTCTGCATACTTTGTTAGCCCCCTTTGTACCTTGTTCTTCAATGGTCAGGACCCCCACAGAGCAGTTATTATTTGGGTGGCGGATCATTCTCAGCGCTGCAGTGACACTGACATGATGGTAGTGTGTTAGTGTGTGTTATGCTGGTACGAGTGGATCAGCCACAGCAGTGCTGCTGGAGTTTCAGAATAGTCCACCAACAATATCCTATGACCACTGATGAGGGACTTGATGATGACCAACACAAACAGCACAGCAACAGATGAGCTATCTACAAGGTGGACTATAGTCTGTAATTAAAAAACTACAAAGTACACCGACTTGGTAAGCAGGGCTAATAAAGTGGACAAAGATTGTCAATACAAAGTAGGTGTACCCAATGAAGTGGCTGGTCAGTGTGGAGTCACTGTTCATTTTGGATAGCAGTGTTGTGGGCATTGTGACCCCTGCCTATTAACCAAACTAGCAAAGTCAACCTACATGTGTCTACTGTATTTTATATGTAATGTTGATAATGGTAGAATAGTGGTAAATCTGGAAAAAACACAATGTCTTGGGGGACTATTTTGCCTTACAACACCCTATATGTACCATTCTGCCATGAATGGCTTGCAAAAAAAATATCAAAAATATTGTAAACACTGTTTTAGGTATCAGGCAGTGTTTTCATAACCGTTACATGTAATATCTTTCTGTGAGGGAGTTTTAGAGGCAGTAAACTCTGGTCCTATCTAGTTCCTATCATTGGAACAACTCTAGAACAGAGCATTCAAACTGCTCGAAATGATTTTGTTCACATCTTAACTATTCAATTGTGTAAAAGCTTTTTTAAATATGTGGAATTCAAATGTGTTCTAAAGGTACACTACATTAACTTTCCCAGTGGAAAGGTGCTTATTTGTACTTTTCCATGACAACCTTTGAAAACAGAAAAATACAAGAAATAAAGCCTGGAATCAAGACTGGATTTAAAAATAAATGAATATAATATGAATATAATAATATTATGTTTCCTACTGAAAGGTATGTAGCCTTGAGGGTACCACCCCAATGACACAGTGACAGCATTTATGCCCTGAAAGGTACAATTTAATACCCTTTTCCCTGAGCATGTAGACCAACGTTAATATTTTGGTTAAAGTCAGTCATTCTGTAAACAGTTAAACTCTATATTTAAGATACAATTTAAACCTTATTGGGGCAAAGTTCAAACAAAGAACATAAGTATAAATTAATTGGAGTTTTTTATTAAAATCCATGACATGGTCTAGGTTGGCGTAGAATGACCCCATATGTTGAGACTCTTGTTTGCTTCAATAAGCGTTTGTAGGTTTCATTCAGCCTTTTTAGGCCTCCTGTGCTTTCAAAAAAGTCTCAATACCAAAACCTTGATGTCATATAATCCTCTACTGCATGATGTTGCCTCAGGGTAACAAACTGATTTTGCTTACTTTATAATAATGGGATGCATATTTAATGACAAAGAAATGGTTAATAATGAAAAAAGAGTTTGAATAAACCTTTGTCCAACTGTCTTCTGGTGGGCATTTTGAAAACTCTTCCTATGTTGCAGGTTGTTTTTATTTAGAATTATTTGTGTGTGTTGGTCTCTTTAGGAAATGTAACTTAATTCAGTATTTAACATTTTTGCCATATTAGAGGCTAGAAGGCAATATTAGAGGCACTTTTAGATCTGTCAGGTAACAGTCAGCATATAGTATCATCAGATTGTTTAAACAATGAAAGCCATTTCTAAGTACTGGAAAATGACTTGTTTTTAGTTTTGAAGATCAACAAATTATGTTTTTATATTATGTTATATTTTTATTCAAAATTCTTTTGACACTTTACACCATTTCTTTCTATTGTCTCACAATGTTGCCTCAAGGCAAAAATACCCCAAAAGGACCAGAATCACATGATTTTTTTAAAAATTGTGTTTGGTTTTAATGATTGATCCCACAAGAAAACGGAATTTGTTTATATATATATATATATATATATATATATATATATATATATATATATATATATATATATATATATATATATATATTACTAATCCTAATGGATGGAATAGATTAATATGTTAATGAGTAATTAATCAAAATGTTTTAACTTGGTTAGTGCTGTGTGGAATGACTGCATATGATTTGGCATTGATCTTGGTTTGGTAGCCTTACTGCTTCCTCCAATAACCGTCCATATTGTAACACGCTATAAATGACATGCTATTTAGATTGTTACAGATGTATGCAAAAATTTGGGAGCCCTTGGTCAAATTACATGTTTTGTTGACTTTTCAAGTGAAAATAAATACAAAATCCTCTATACAGAACACACTTATGCACATTTTAATGCAAAATTACTGTTTTTATTACTGAATGTAACAAAATTTAGAGAAAAATGCCATATTTATGTTTGTTCCCTGTAGAGGATGTGTTAACTAAAACCAACAACACATTTGACCAGGAGTGTTCAAACCTCTGCATATGATTGTTCAAATTTTTCTCTGCATATGATTGTTCAAATTTTTCAGCAGGGTCAGTCTTCTCACTGAAGACCCCTGTCTCTCATTGCGCAGCTCATTGAAGTTCATTCACATTTGCTGAATGAGTAGATCATGAAATCCTCTCTGTTGTTGGCAGGGGGATGAAAAGGTGACAGTCTAAGCTGGAGCTCGCACCCTGGTTGGAACTGCAGAGGCTGCAGAGTGGCGTCAGGGCGCCACTTTTCTGCCAGAGGTTTAGTGGGAAGCGACCATGGGGACCCTTGTTTGGAGAAGCCTTTATGGTGTCTTTTGTGGAGGAGATTGCCTGCATTTAGGGCATGCGTCATGCTTTAAATGTGCAAGTTGAGCAGAACGGAGTGAATGATGCTGTCAGGTTTTGTATGTTACGGAGTGTCTGACTGGTGCGATTATTTAATCCTGACCACAGGACAAACCTCAGCAGGGCTTGAGCTTCAGTGGATATTTTCCAGTCTGTTGAGCAGCCTCTTGTGGCGGCGATTAGAACAGATTTTGAGGTACACTTGACCAGTCACAAGATTATAGTAGTGAAAACAGCACCACCTGGTGCTAATGCAGTGCAAATGCTGCCTGACAAAACTACAGAAATAGACAGAGGCGAAAAAAAGTACAGGGAAAATATACTTAAAGAGGAATTATACAAATAAAAAAAATACCCACATTTTAAATCATTATTATGCAAACAAAGTCATTCAAAGCAGTCTGATGTGAAACGGTCCCTTCTAGAGAAACATGTTGAGTCATAATTGTTCTCAGTGGAAGTCCACTGTCTCAGTCCGAAGAGTGTAAAAGCTATAAGTTATTAGATGAAATGGCTATGAATAAACATCTTGATGCGAGAGACTAGAAATTCTTCTGCAGAAATTTTCAGGGAGAGAACAGAATTCATAGTTTCACCAACTATGGCAGGTCGCTCAGGCCCTGAAACAACAAAGCATCCCACATCACACTACCACCATGTTTGACAGTTGGTATGCTTTTCTTATAGTGGAATACAGTGTTAGCTTTACACCAGATATAGTGTGACACCAGTGTGTCTTCCAAAAAGTTTCACTTCCGGCTCATCAGTCCACAGAACAGCATTCCAAAAGGCTTGAGAGTCTTTAAGAAGTTTTTGTCGGCAAAAATGTTAGCAGTTGCAATCCTCCAATGGATACCACTTTTGCCCTTTCTCTTTTGAATGAGCTGAGTTAGTCCTGCAGTTTCTTAGAGGTTCATCTTGGTTCTTCTGTGATTTCCTGAACGAGTTTATGCTGTGCTCTTGGAGGAAATTTGGTAGGCTGGCCACTTCTGGGCGAGTCACCGCTGTTCCAAGTTTTTTACATTTGGAGATAATGATTCTTACGGTTCACTGGAGTCAAAGAGACTTAGAAATGGCTTTCTAACCCTTTCCAAACTGATACATTTCAATAACCTTCATTCTCATCTCTCATTTCTTTTCGTAGCAGTATAGTGTGCTACTTGTTGAGACCTTTTAGCCTACTTCACATTGCTGCACAGGTTTTGTTTAAGTGATGTTTAGATTCAACAGGGCTGACAGTAGTC